CCCCCAAACCCTGGAGCCCTAAACCCTAAGCCCTAAACCCTAAACCCTAAATCCTAAACCCTAAATCCTAAACCCTAAACCCTAAACCCTAAACCCTAAACCCTAAACCCTAAACCCTAAACCCTGAACCCTGAACCCTGGAGCCCTAGGCCTTAGAACCCTTTGAACAGTTGGATCCGTGGGGCCTCGACTGTGGAAGTGTTGAGACGCAAAGAAGCCCAATCCCTCACCTAGGCCGAACATCCTGGTTTAGGAAAAAGGGTTTAGGGTTTAGGGTTTAGGATTTAGGGTTTAGGGTTTAGGGTTTAGGGTATAGGGTTTAGGGCTGCAGGATGTAGGGGATATCGGGTCTGAGATTCAGATTCAGGGCTGTAGGGTCTAAGGTTTCGGGCTTATAGGGCTGAGATGTAGAAAGTGCAGGGCCGGAGGGTTAGGGGGTTTACGATAGGGGTCGGAATAAGGATGAATAGTACTCCCTTAGGGTCCCTTTGTAGTTTTACTAGAATATTCCCCCCCCCCCCCCCCGAAAAAAAAAAAAAAAAACCTATTGTGATTTTTCAGGCCCCTATGTTACGAACCGAGCTGAGGCCAGACTCCTCCCGTCGCGACGCCCGCGCCGTGGCCACCGGGGCGTCACGCTGCGGCCATTGGGAGCCGTCGTTGGGCGCCAGTGCTGCGATTTTGTTCTGGCTCAGGGTTTAGGGGGTTTAGGGGTTCAGGGGGGTTCAGGGGGTTCAGGGGGGTTTAAGGGGTTCAGGGGTTTAGGGTTTAGGCTTTGGGGGAGGCGCCTGCGCTCACAGCATAGTCCGGTGTGTGGATTAGGCCTAGCTTTGTAGACAGTAGCCTGCGTGCAAATCGTATGTGTTCTTTTCGTTGGGGCTCCACGCTTGCTAGCAGTTACCTTTTGATTAGCCTCCAACCCTGAACCCGAAACCCTAAACCCTCTAAGGCGTTGTCAGAAGTATTTTGGCGGCTTCCACAAAGGGGAAGTCTGGCTTAGAAGAACCTCCAAAAACACGACCCTCAACCCCAAACCCTCAAACCCCTGCAGGCTCCTGGAATGTTCTTCTCGGAAGTGGGGATGTGCATTTTGGGATTTTTTTTCGCAGGTGGCGCCTTATTCCCACTCTCAACTCAGTGGCCTAAGCTCAAGCCTAAGCCCGAAACCCTAAACCCTAAACCCTAAACCCCAAACCCCAAACCCCAAACCCCAAACCCCAAACCCCAAACCCCAAACCCTAAACCCTAAATCCTAAGCCTTGGACCACAAACCCTGTAAAAACCCTAAACCCTTCCTTTCTGACAGACCTTCTCCGGACGAGCGGCCGGGGTAGCGCGTGGAACGCGCCCTGTCAACTCCTGGGGGGGGGGGGGGGGGCGTGGGTTAGGGTTTAGGGTTTGGAGTTTAGGGTTCAGGGTTTAGGCTTTAGGGTTTAGGGAACAACCTGACCTTATCTTCTAAAGCTGCAAAGAATCCGATGTTCTAAGCCGTTTTGTAAAAGAAATTGTTTTGGGCTTACGCCATTCCGCTCCGTAAGGAACGTGGGGGTTTACGAAGATAGGGGTGCCCCTTTGATACCCCAAACGGAACAGAAGCCCCTCGAAGGGACCCCGCCAAAAGGGTACCCCCATATACCACACAAGTCTTTCATCCCCCTTCTGGATGTGAGTCAACAAAGGTTTGGGCCTGCACAGCTATCCTGAGCAGCTGCGAGACGGACTGGTGCCTGGGGGAGGGAGCATCTACTATGGGGCTGTCCGACAGTAGGGGCATACCTTATTGGGGTCCTTACTCTAAGGGAATCCAACGATGTGGGGATCAAGATTTGGGGTCCCCTATTTTCGTGGACCCCCACATGTGTGGTCGTTTCCTGTGAGGGTGCTCTTTGTCGAGGGAACCTTTTCAAGACAGTCCTGTAGAAAAGGACCCCCCCTTCAATATTCAGCACAAAGGAGGTCATGTCAGAAAGAGCAATGACTGAAAAGAAGGGACTCTAGTTTCGAGCACGAAGGTTTGAGGTTCGGGAGGGGGTGGTTTGGTCCTCAAAATCTCTTGGCCTGTGCGACGCCTTAAACCCAAATCCGATACCTTGGGCCCTGAACTAACCCCTTCAACCTGCACCCTAATCCCTGACCAGCCCTAACCCTAAAACCCCACCCCCCCCCCCCCCGCCCCTCCCCTCAAAAAAACACAGCAACGAACGCAACTAGCCGTTCAGGCGAGCTCTCCCAGCATTTTTAAATGAGATAGAGTAGGTTCAGGGATTCGGGGTTCAAAAAATTAAGAGTTTCAAGGTTTAGGGTCACTTCAGCCAGGTTCCTGGGGTTTAGGGTTTAGGGTTTAGGGTTTAGGGTTTAGGGTTTAGGGTTTACGGTTTAGGGTTTAGGGTTTAGGGTTTAGGGTATTTGCCGTTCATGGCTTTCCTGTTCCGCATTGCGGGACATGTCGTGCATAAGACTTCCCAAACCCTGTTTCAGTGGAAGACCTAAGCCCGATACCCGAGACCTTGTACCGCGCTCCCCACTAGTTGGGCACGGTGGTTCATTAATAGAGGTTGGCGTTTGCCCCGGACCTTCTAGGTACATTCGAGTTCCATTATGGGTTTCGGGTTTAGGGTTTAGGGCTTGGGGTTTAGGGTTTAGGGTTTAGGGTTCAGGGTTTAGGGTTTGGGGTTGTCGTTGGAGGTGTATAATCTCGCGCAGGAGCTGCAATGGCTCACGGCGTGTCAGCTGCTTTCAAGCATGACGGTGCTTTCTCGGCATCCAGAAGGGTTTAGGGCTTAGGGCTGGGGATTAGGCCTAGGGTTTAGGGCTGGGGTTTAGGGCTGGGGTTTAGGGCTAGGGTTTAGGGCCTTCAACCCCTAAACCCCAAATCCTGAAATATTGAAGCCTAAAGGCTAGTTCGGGCGTAGTCTTGGTGGGCATGCGAGTCCTTCATGGCGCGCGGACGTCTTGTTGTGGGGGGCCTCAACTGAGTGGAGGGTGGGGGCTAGCCCTAAACCCGAAACCTCAAACCCTAAACCCTAAGCCTAAACCCTAAACCCTAAACCTAGCTTTCATTAAGGCTCAAGCTTCTCACAGGGTCTGGGATTTAGGGAGCTCGCAAAGAGGTCTTATCTGCCTTATCTTAAACGCTACACCTAAACCCAAAAACCTGAAAATCCCTGAGCCCAGAACCTCAAGCCCCTGAAGCCCTGGTCCCTTTTGATTCAGTTGAGTTTCCGGTTTAGGGTTTGGGGTTTGGGGTTAGGGGTTAGGGTTTGGGGTTTAGGGCTTTGGGGCTTTAGGGGTCTCAAACTTACCTCAGCCTAAAGCCACAAGCCCCAAGCTCATCCTCGGAGCTCATGCAGGTTGGTCGGGTGACGGCAAACGTTTGGAGCTACAGTGCCGCAATGAGCGCCGCTGAGCAAGAAAGTTCGACGACTCGTTGACGTTGGTTATCCTAAACCCTACAGCCCAAATCCTAAACCCTGAACCCCAAACCCGATTATCCCTACATAGAGCCAAGCCCCAACTGGCGAATCGCTTCAGGAATTCACTTTCCTTTTCCATCGCCCGTGCATTCTTGGAGCCCTCTTCTGCGGTTTAGTTTAGGGTTTAGGGTTTGGGGTTTGGGGTTTGGGGTTAAGGGTTTAGGGTTCAGGGTTTAGGGTTTAGGGTTTGGGGTTTGGGGTTTGGGGTTTAGGGTTTAGGGTTAGGTCGCATAGAGTTCAGGGTTTGTGGTGCTTAGAGTGCTTAGCGTGTTGCCATGAGGGACGTTCAAAGGGCTCTAGAGAGTTCAGGGTTTTTAGGGTTTAGGGTTACTTTTCCCGGCACTGGTGATGTTTCAGATACCAGGGTCGACTTGAAGGCTCTTTTTCAAGAGCCGAAGGCGTAGGGTTCATGTCCTTGCTTTTTGTCGTGGGTTACCAGAATCGCAGAAAGCTGCGCCGTAACAATAACAAGCCCCAGAACCCTAAACTCGAAACCCCTAAACCCTAAACCCCTCAACTCGAACCCCAAAACCTTTGAAACCCCAACCTCTAAACCTGAACCCTATCAACCCTATAAACTCTGTCAACCCTAGCAACCCTAAGCATCAAGCTGAAATTCAACCCCAGAAACCAAAGAAGGTCGCAGAGAAGGAGTCCAATTGGCAGATGGCACTCCGGCCGAAGTTTCGGGATTTAGGGTTTAAGGTTTAGGGATTTAGGGATTTGGGATTTTGGGGCCAGGGATTCAGGGATGTAGGGTCTAGGCATGTAGGGGTTGGCGTAGGGACATAGGGCTTCAAGGTTTAGGAGTTTTGGGGGTGTAGGGGCTTAGGTTTAAGGTTTAGGGTTTGGGCACATTGTTTTGTGTTTTAAGGCCCCTGGATTCTAGGTTCCGATTGCACCGGACAGTTCTCTGCACTGGAGCCCTTGAACCCCTAAGCCCTAATCCTGCACCCTACTCCCCCGACCGCCATGCTAAGACACACGTAGTTGACATGAAAATGAGCAGCCGAAAGGCTATACAAGTCAAGCACGTACAGCTCGGACTGTGACTTAGCCGTGTGTACGCGTTTACTGACAAGACATGCTAGGCCAGACAAGAACCACTTTTGCATCACCTTTGTGCCAGGAAGTCGTGCAACCCTAAACCGTAAACCCTAAATCCGAAGGTCTGTTCGGCTTGGCCTCCCGGTGGCCAGCGGCTGTTTAGGGTTTAGGGTTTAGGGTTTAGGGTTTAGGGTTTAGGGTTTAGGCTGATGACTTCGCAAGGCAGTAATATCGTACTACCCAAGTGGACACTCAGGTACGTTTTTTGGTACAAGTGACTTTTGCGACAAACGTCGTGTTTCGTGGTAAAACCCTAAACCCTATAAACCACCAAAACAACGATAAACCCTAAACTCTACAAACCCCTAAGCCCGATAAAGCACGATTCGCCCCCAGGGGTTACCGGCTAAACCCTAAACCCTAAACCCTAACCCTAAACCCTAAACCCTAAGCCTCCAGGCTCTACTGCTCCTGGCGTCGATGGAGGATCCCAGGATCGGCCCTATCGAGTCCATAGGGTATAGGGTTTTAGGGTTTAGGGTTTAGGGTTTGGGGTTTGGGGTTTGGGGTTTAAGGTTTAGGGGCTTGAGGGGTTCTAGGGGATTTTAGGGTTTAGGGGTTTCGGCCCTTTGGGCTTTTAGGGGTTCTAGGGTGCAGGGGCTTTAGTGTTATTCTGGTGGTTTGGGGATCAATGCTCTCATGCGGGTACTGCCCAGAATGCTTAGAAAAGAACCCCTAAACCCTAAACCCTAAACCCTAAACCCTAAACCCATGTGCAAACCCCAAGCCCTCAACCCCCCTAACCTTCTAACCCCTGAAGCGAAAGAGCCTCCCTAGTCTGCGTAGTCCCCCAACCCCTAAACCCTGCACCCTAAACCCTACACGAACCCTCTAACCTTTTAAACCCTAAACCCCTACACCCTAAACCCTACACCCTAAACCCTCAACCCTCGAAACCCCCGAAGCGAAAGAGCCTCCCTTGTCTGCTTCGTGTGTTTCAGGACCTCGGCACCTCCGCCCAATTCCATCAGACGCCTTGGCTCCATTTGAGCGGGGGGTTAGGATTCGGGAGTTTAGGGTTTAGGGGTTTTGGGGTTTAGGGTTAAATCAAAGGTTTAGGGTTTAGGGTTTTTAGGGGGTTTAGGGTTTAGGGGTTCATCAGGAGTTAGGGGGTAATACCTTGAGAAGCCACCGAGGCATGCAACAGCCAATCATCATTGCTGGGCAGCTTCGGCGTTTTGCGCCCCTAATCCCCCCAAACGTTTGACCCTAAATCCCCAAACCCTAGATCCGCAAACCCTAAACCCTAAATCTCTAAATCCCTAAATCCCTAAATCCCTAAACACTAAAACCCTAAACCCTAAACCCCAAACCCTAAACCCTAAACCCTAAACCTCGGAACTGAGGCTTCAACGTCGGCATCAGCGCCTGTGAGCAAGGCCAGGGGCCACGGGGGGAGGAGGTTCTCCATGTGGGGGTTTAGGGTTTAGGGTTTAGGATTTAGGGTTTAGGGTTTAGGGTTTAGGGTTTAGGGTTTAGGGTATTTGCATAAGAATTCCAGAAAAATAACAGCAAAGATTAGTCCTTATAAGGGCAATGTAGGGATTATTGCTCAAAAACCCCAAAGAAAAGCAGCAACTAACATTCCTTATAAGGGCTTTAGGGTTTAGGGTTTAGGGTTTAGGGAGTATTGTTTATTGTTTGGGGTTCCTGACAAAAGTAGATGTGGGGCGTGTTCCGGGATGCTGCTGCAAGCCCCTACACCCCTGAACATCCTCCAACACCTACACCCTAGGGTGGGTTTCGGGTTTAGGGTTTAGGGTTTAGGGTTTAGAGTTTAGGGAGCCTATTCGAGCCTCTGGTGTGTAGAGCTGTGGGGTTATTAGAAGTTTTGTAGGTGCTGTGTCCCAAAAAAGGTCTTGACTGCAAGTTTGACCGAATCGTTCTGACCGAGTATACTGTCTTGAAAACAGATTCGGGAAAGCTATTTTGGTTGGAGTTTGGTTCGGACATAGGTCTTGGTAAGTTGTTTTTTGAGCTTCCTGGGGGCCGTTTTAGGTGCCCCCTTCTCGGGTGGGAACTGCGGAAGTTGTTTTTTGACTCTGTCTCTTGGAACTTGACTTGCCTTGGTTGCATTCCGGTTTATTGGCTGGGTTTAGGCCTCCCATGTCGATGTTTTTTTTGGGGGGAAGGAGTCGTAAGGGCAGTATGGCTGCCAGCCCAAAACACGTCAACAAAAGCATCAACAGCCCCCTAAACCTCATACCCCTTACCCCACCCCCCAAACCCCTATAGGCCCCCAAACCTAAGCCTCACAAGACCCCATAAGCCGGTTTATAGTACCCCCGATTATACTCTCGTATACGGGGGAAGATCCCAGCCTAAACCCCACAAGACCCCAGAAGCCTCCTGAGCCCACCCCAAACCCCAAACCTCAAACCCCAAACCCCAAACCCTAAACCCCAAACCCCAAACCCTAAACCCTAAACCCTCAGGTTCCCGCTGGCTCCTGGCCCTCGAGCTGCTGGACACCATGGAGGACCCTCCGGTGCCGGAATGTGAGCCGAAAGGGGGGTTTAGGGTTTAGGGTTTAGGGTTTAGGGTTTAGGGTTTAAGGTCGAAAGGGGGGCTCTTACACCTACGGAAGCAAAACCCTAACCCTGTAGGCCCTAGGCCCTAAACCCTATCAGCCCTAAAAGCCCTAAACTTTAAGCCCTTAAACTCTACACTTTAAGCCATTAACCTCTAAACCTAAACCTAAACCCTAAACCCTAAACCCCAAACCCTAAACCTTAAACCCTAAACCCTAAACCCTAAACCCTAAACCCTTCCAGGCTGGGCGACTTCGCGTCGACGTTGTGGCCGCCTCGGCCGCGCTGGCGGCGCTGGGGGCCGCGGGTATGGTCCACAGGCAGGGTTTAGGGTTTAGGGTTTAGGGTTGAGGGTTGAGGGTTGAGGGTTGAGGGTTAGGGTTGAGGGTTGAGGGTTAGGGTTGAGGGTTGAGGGTTTGAGGTTTAGGGTTTAAGGTTTGGGGTTGAGGGTTTAGAGAAAATTGAGGAAGTCTTGGGGTGTAGCAGTTTGGGGTCCACATGCAACATAGGGTTCGGTCGGCCTGCAGGTTGGCTTCGGGAGGTTCATGTATCGAAATAGGACATACTTGGGCTTCAAGGTAGCTCCTGTGCCCCTAAACCCTAAACCCTAAACCCTAAACCCTAAACCCTAAACCCTAAACCCTAAACCGCCCTAAACCCTAAACAAAGGCAAACTTGAAAGCTCTTCGGCAAAGTACAGCCCGCAGCTGAATCGCTGCAGAGATCCCCAGTTTTTGTTGTGAGTCTTGACTTCTTTTGTGAGTCTTAATGGCCTGCATGGTTGGGGGGTTTAGGGTTTAGGGTTTAGGGTTTAGGGTTTGGGATTTGCCACGATTTAAGGATCAGGGTTTGCAGCGTTTCATAGCCCTACCAAACCCTACACACAAAACGCGAAATGGGCCGAGGCCCTTCCCAGTAGAGCCAATACTCTCGCTGAGCAAGATCAAAAACACCCAAACACCGACCTGCCTCTCCATACTGCTCAGTATCATGAAACCCCAAACCGCAGAAATGGCCTCAGTATCATGAAACCCGAAACCGCAGAATGGCCTATAGATATAGCCACAACCTGAAGAAGTTCCCGATCCTATGCCTTAACGGTAGGTCTCGAATTTAGGCCCCTCAGGGTGCTGCTTGTTTGTGTTCTGGTTCCTGTTTTCCTGATTAAAAAGTACCCCGAAAGAAACTACTGTTAAACCTTTGCGTCCTGTACCACCAAAGACCGCTCTGGCCGCCCGCCCCCCCCCCCCCCCCCCCCCCCCAAGAATTTTCCCAGGGCCAAGCGTCTTTTTCGGAAGGCCCGTTGGAGTCAGGCAGCGCGCTGGGGTTAGGGTTCAGGGTTCAGAGTTTAGGGTTCAGGATTCAGGGTTCAGAGTTTAGGGTTAGGGTTAGTTCAGGGTTCAGGGTTCAGGGTTCACAGTTCAGGGTTTAGGGTTTAGGGTTTAGGGTTTAGGGTTTAGGGTTTCCAGCTTCAGTCCGGGGATTAGTACAGCTTGTGGCTCTTGTCGGGGTGTTTTGAGGGAATTTGCAGGACTTGGAGGTCTCAGGGTTCATAGTTCTTCGAGGTGTTCCTAACATAAGTAGCCCTAAACTCTAAACCCTAAACCCTGAACCCTGAACCCTGAAACTTCAGCTTAAACACGAACACCTTCAAACGGCTTTAGGGCGCAGAAGGAGCTGTGAACTGCTGAAGACTCCATGGGGTGAATCCTTGCTAGTTCTCACCTCATCCTGCCAAAAGCCGCTCCCTCTTTCTCTCTCTGAAGAGGGTTGGGGTTTAGGGTTTTGGGTTTAGGGTTTAAGGCCCTCCCCCTCATAGGTCTACCTCTGGCAGAACCCTCGGCCATCAACCCTGAACATTCTGATTGTAGGGCATAAGGGATGAAGTGCCCTTTATCGCCCCCTTTAAGGGCCCAAGCTGGGGCCCTTGCTTCCCTAAACCCTAAGCCCTAAACCCCAAACCCTAAACCCCAAACCCCAAACCCTAAACCCTAAACCCCAAACCCGAAACCCCAAACCCCAAACCCTAAACCCTAAACCCTGAACCCTAAACCCTAAACCCTAAACCCCCCAAACCCTGGGATGTATAGCTGGTCCTGCAGATCGACCCCAACGCGGTCAGCTTCGGATCCATGATCTCAGCCTGTGAATCTCGTCACCATAATACTGAGGGATTTAGGGGTTTCGGGTTTAGGGTTAGGGTTCAGGGTCTAGGGTCTAGGGTCTAGGGTCTAGGGTCTAGGGTCTAGGGTCTAGGGTCTAGGGTTTAGGGTTTAGGGTTTAGGGTTTAGGGTTTAGGGTTTAGGGTTTAGGGTTTAGGGCCAGGGTTCAGGGGTTTAAGGGCTAGGGCTAGGGTTTAGGGTAGGGTTTAGGGGGTTCAGGGTTTATAGGGTTTTGGGGTTTAGGGTTTACGGTTTATAGAGTTTTGGGGTTTAGGGATTAGGGTTTAGGGGTTTTGGGTTTACAGGGTTTTAGGGTTTAGGGTTTAGGGTTTGTAGGGTTTTAGGGTTTTGGGATTTAGGGCTTAGGGGTTTAGGGTGTAGGAGTTTAGGGGTTCAGGGTTTGTAGGTTTTTAGGGTTTAGGGTTCGGGTTTCGGGCGCTGCGACTGAACTTTTGCAGTGCTGGGTTGGTTAGGCTGTGAAGTTTTTTGGGCTTTGTGGTTTGGGGGCCTCAACCCAAGTTCCAAAAACCCTGAAAGATTTAGGCTGTCAAGCGCTTAGGGCTGTTTTAAGAGTCATCAGGGGGCCCAACTCCAAACCCCAACCCCAAAGCTTAAATTTCAGTACCCCAAGCCCCAAAGCCCCCAAAGCCCCAAAGCCCCCAAAGCCCCAAAGCCCCCAAAGCCCCAAAGCCCCAAAGCCCCAAAGCCCCAAAGCCCCAAAGGTGTAGGGTTTAGGCTTTAGGGTTCAGGGTTCAGGGTTTAGGGTTTAGGGTTTTGGTCCTCTGACCAAGGAGAAGTCCAGCGATTGGCGTGGCAGCCTGGACTATCTACGCGCTTCCTGGATCCAGCCACTCGACCCTAGGGTTCGGGGTTTTTTTGAGTTTAGGGTTTAGGGTTTAGGGTTCAGCAGCTCTGGGTCGAGCAATCTCTAGTAGAGCCGCTGTCTGGACTCTAGAAAAAAACCCCACCCACCCAGAGAATCCCAAAACATTAAGAAATATAAAGTTCACATTTTTCCTCAGCAAGCCCTGTCCTCCAACCTCATTTATTCATTCTGCTCGTGTTCTTTGTCATTCTGCTTGGTTTCCATTCTGCTCGTATGCGTTTCTTTCTGCTCATATTCATTCTGCTCGTATTCGTTCTTTTTCTGATCTGCTCGTCTCGTGTTCGTTCTCGTTCTGCTCGTATTCATTCTGCTCGTATTCGTTCTCTCTCTGCTCGATTTCAGTCCGCTCGTTTTCGTTGTGTTTCTTCTCGTATTCATTCTGTTCGTATTCGTTCTCTCTCTCTCTGCTCGATTTCAGTCTGCTCGTCTTCGTTCTCTCTCTGCTCGTAATCATTCTGCTCGTATTCGTTCTCTTTCTGCTCATATTCATTTTGCTCGTGTTCGTTCTCTTTCTGCTCGTATTCGGGCTTTTTCTGCACGTATTCGTTCTCTCTCTGCTCGATTTCAGTCCGCTCGTTTTCGCTGTCTTTCTGCTCGTACTGAGTCTGCTCGTACTCATTCTCTTTCTGCTCGTATTCATTCTGCTCGTATTCGTTCTCTCTCTGCTCGACGTCAGTCTGCTCGTATTCGTTCTCTTTCTGCTCATATTCACTTTGCTCGTGTTCGTTTTCCCCGGTGACCCTGCCTATTCTTGGCCGTCTTGTTGGTTGTGTTTGGCACACTTTAAGCTGCCTGGCTTCCACATGGTTTCTTTCCAATTAGTGCCCCGGTGACCTCGCCTCATGTTGGCTCCTGCTCTTAGGGTTTGATGAGAGGCCTAGAGGTTTGTCGTATGTCCCCTCTCTTCGTGCTCGTAGGGTTTGTCGTATGTCCCTCCCTTCATGCTCGTAGGGGTTTGATGAGAGGTCTACAGGTTTGTCGTACGTCCCCTCCCTTCGTGCTCTTAGATTTTGTCATATGTCGCCTCCCTTCGTGCTCGTCGGCTTTGTCGTATGTCCCTCTTTTTCTGCTTGCAGAGAATCCCAAGAATTAAGAAACTGAGGTTTTATTTTCAGAGGTTTGTCGTATGTCCCCTCCCTTCGTGCTCGTCGGCTTTGTCGTATGTGCCTTTTCTTCTGCTTGCAGAGAATCCCAAAACATTGAGAAATGTACGGGTTTATTTTCGAGGTTTGTCGTATGTCCCCCTCCCTTCGTGCTCGTAGGGTTTGACGAGAGGTCTACAAGTTTGTCGTACGCCCTCTCCCTTCGTGCTCTTAGGGTTTGTCGTATGCCTCCCTTCGTGCTCGTAGGGTTTGTCGTATGTCCCCTCCCTTCGTGCTCGTATGGTTTGATGAAAGGTCTACAGATTCGTCGCATGTCCCTTCCCTTCGCGCTCTTAGGGTTTGTCGTATGTCCCCTCCCTTCGTGCTCGTCGGCTTTGTCGCATGCCCCTTGTCTTCGCGCTTGCTTTCCGAAGACCGAAGGTAGAACCAAAAGTGTTGGTCCGGATTGACAAAAAATGTCTTGTTTTCCCCCACCCCACCCTCGAACCATTCCAGTTCGAGCCAATCCCCAACCCACCCTAGAACCAACTACCCGTGTTCGTTCTCTCTCTTGCTTGCGAAGCCCTCATCCAGGTTTCCAGTTGCTTTTCCCCACCCCACCCTCGGACCACCCAAGATGAGAAACACTAAGAAGGGGCTGCTGCATTCCCCGGCCCGGCAAAGCCTTCATCTTGATCTGGCCCGTGGCCATTGGCAAAAAAGGTGGCCATTGGCAAAAAAAGCCGTGGCCATTGGCAAAAAAACCGTGGCCATTGGCAAAAAAGCCGTGGCCATTGGCAAAAAAGCCGTGGCCAAAAAAAGCCGTGGCCATTGGCAAATGCCACTTGCCAATGGCCACGGCTTTTTTGCCAATGGCCCCGTTCCCCATTAAGGTTGGGCCCCAACCTTAATGGGGAACGTGGCCATTGGCAAAAAAGCCGTGGCCATTGGCAAAAAGCCCGAAAAGTTGCCAATGGCCACGGCTTTTTTGCCAATGGCCACGTTCCCCATAAAGGTTTAAATTATTATATGATAGAGAGAGTTTAGGGTTTAGGGTTTAGGGTTTAGGGTTTAGGGTTTAGGGTTTAGGGTTTAGGGTTGTTTAGAACTTGTCTAGGGTTTGTGTCCGGGGTTTTGTGCGGTTGTTCTTTGCTTTTGGCTGAAACAGGTTGAAAAAGCTGAAAAAAAACACGGGCTTTTTTTTTTTCAGGCCCTTACAGGAAAGCCCTATGCTTTTGGCCTTAGGTTTCGTCCTTTTGGCTGAAAAAGGCTGATTTGGCTACAAAAAGCTGAAAAGCACTGGCTTTGTCGGCCTTTTTTCAAGCCTTCACCGGAAAACTATGTTTTTGGCCTTCGATTGGGCTTGTGAAAACTTCAGGGGGTTCTCCAAGGCCGTCAAGCTACGCCCAAAATGTCGAAAACCACCAAAAACTGCCATTTGGGATTTTCTCACCGCCACCAAACTAGCGAAAATGCTTATGTGTTGGCCTTAGTGGAGGGTTTGTTGAAGGCACAAAAGTGTCAAAAAAACAATCAACATTCGCCGAGGGTTTTTCAAGGCTGCCAAATAGCGAAAATCCCTATGTTTTGGCCTTACTTGAGGATTTGTGAAGGCCCAAAATGGTCAACAATCACGAATAATCCCTATGTTTCGGCTTTAACTCGAGAGCCCAAAATGGCAAAACAACTGCCATTTGGAGGTTTCCAAGGCCGCCAACTTAGAGCGAAAAACGGTATGTTTCCTATCTTCATTGAGGTAGAGGATTTGCGAAGAATACCTACTTGTTTGGAAGGCACTGGTGCTTGGTGACACCGGTCTTGAGGGTTTAGGGCTTACGGTTTAGGGGAAAGCTCGACCCCAGGGGCGGAGTATCTTACCAACCCTCAGGTAGAACAACAGAGGTGTGGGGAGGGGGTCTAGCTGGGCTGGTTTGTAACTGGGGGTTTACGAAAATTGGGGAACCCAAATATACACCCCCAAATAGCAGTGGGATTCCCTTATTGTTATAAGGACCCCAAGAAGGTACCCCTAATTTCGGAAACCTTCAAATGGAGGGCCCCACCTGGCTTCAGGGTCCAAGCCTGAATGGCCCTAGGGTTTCGGGTTTAGGGTTGCGGGTTTAGGGTTTAGGGTTTAGGGGTTTAGGGGTTTAGGGGTTTAGGGGTTTAGGGCCGGGGGGCTTCGGCTAAGCGCCCGGTAGGCTCAGCAGCAAGCGTCTGCCTGATAATGTTGCACCTGCGTTAGTCCGGGGGGGCCCCTGTTTAAAGTTATGTTGGCCGGGCTCTTCAGGACACTGTGACTGTTTCGGGGGTTCCTGTTTAAAGGCAAGTCGTTCCCGAAATCCAGAGTTGTGTTTTTTTGTTGATTTGGGGTTTGCTTTGAAGCCAACTTTAACCCAATGCCCTGGCTTCTTGGCTTAAATGCCAGGCCTCTGATTCTTAAAGGCAGGCCTCCTTTCCAAGACCCCGCCCTAAAGCCTAAACCCCAAACCCTAAACCCTAAACCCCAAACCCCAAACCCTAAACCCTAACCCTAAACCCTAAACCCTAAACCCTAAACCCTAAACCCTAAACCCGGAATCCCAACCGAGCCAACCAAAAAACAATGGCCCTCTCGATCCGGCAAAGGGGGTGGTCCGGGAGCCAGCCGAGCCCCGAATAACTACTATGTGCTTAAGAACCCCCCCCCCCCCCAAACAAAAAAAAGACAAGTAAAGCTTTATTGCCCTTGTAGGGAAGAATATTTTTTGTTTTGGGGGGGGTTCTTAAGCAAACAGTAGAAAATACCCTATACCCTAAACCCTAAACCCTAAACCCTAAACCCTAAACCCTAGAGTCTCTGGATTTCGAAGCCCTGGCCTCTTGGCTTAAAGGCATCCTAAGCCCGAAGCCAAGACCCCATCATTTCAGGCTTTCCATCTTTTTTGGGACCTAAGACCATATTTTGTTGGCGGTCTTGGGCCCTTAGATTAAGCCGGACCTTATACTTCCAGGGACCGAATAGTCAGGTTACTAGAACGCTTAAGGACTCAATCATTAGGTCCCTGGAAGTATAGGGGACTAAACCCTAAACCCTAAACCCTAAGCCGCAATACGAGGCGTCTCGCCGATGAGTCTTGCCACAACGCAGCCCTGGCAGCTTGTTCCCGCGCCGTCGGTGGCGAGGCGGGGCTGAATCGTCTGCGCCCTATGTGGGCTTTAGGAGCTTCAGGGCTTTAAGGTGTGGGGTTTAGGGCTTTAAGGTGTGGGGTTCGATAGGGTAGGGGGGGGGGGGGGGGGGGGTAGGGGCGTAGCGGGGTGGGTGGGTGGAGGTTCTTCCATGTGGTATGCCCCCAAAACCCAAGGCCCAAGACCATTAACGTCAGCCCCACACTAACCTAGGCTTGCACTGGTTTCTAGCAACACTCGGAGTGACGGGTCAACCCGACGGTTATATAAACTTTGAACCGAATCCCATAAATGCCCTCAATACCCCACATACCCTACATACCCTACGTACACATACCCTACAAACCCGAAGCCCTACTCTCAAACCCTTAAAGAAGCAACCCGAAATCCGAAATCCTACTTCCCCCCCGGCCAGGATGGGCTATTATACCCTACAATCCCTTAAATGGCCCTTTATGGGGTTCATTATGGGGATTTTAAGGCCTTATAGCCCATCCTGGCAATTGATCTCCCCTGCAGGCCGACCGCGTCGCAACGCGGGCAGAAGCGGACAAAACGGCTGCACCCTCCAGGGGCAAGCTCTTGGAGCTTTTGGTTCCTCAACCCTAAACCCTAAACCCGAAACCCGAAACCCGAAACCCGAAACCCTACCCTCAAACCTGCGAGGGATTACGAGCTTAGGGTTTGAGGGCCCAGTTCTGGTGAGCCCAAGGGGAGGGGGGGGGGGGGGTCCAGGGTTGACTCATTGAACCCTGGGACCGAATTAGGGTTTAGGGGTTAGGGTTTATCGGGTTTAGGGTTTCATTATAGGGTGTAGAGGGTTTATGGGTTCTTTAGGGTTCACAGGGTTCAGAGGGTTCATAGATTTATAGGGTTTATAGGGTTAGGAGGGTTTTGCAGCAATATGAGCTGCTCAAATACACTAAGCCCGACACCCGACCCCCGAATCCTTGAACCCTAAACCCTTCCAGTTTATCGGTGCCTCTATTGCCCTTGTTGTGCTTTTCGGGCAGCAAGATGCTTCTGAAAGAAGGAAAAAAACTCAAAATGGCTGAGAATAGGTTCAGGGCTAATTGCGACTAATGAGCTCCTCCTGGCCCCTGGGAGGATTTCGAGAGTTTGGGCTGTGCCAGTATGCAACTTCGTGCCCTGTGCAGCGAGCACTCCTGAGGTTCTTTCAGGCCTTGCGGGTACCGACTTTCTGCCTAAACCTAAACCATACACCCTAAACCCTAAACCCTAAACCCTGAACCCTAAACCCTAAACCCTAAACCCTAAGCCTGGTCCCAGTGTTCAAAGAGTCCCCGAACAACAGGTTCGGCTTTCGCGCGGCAAACGGACCTGAGGTTGGGACTCCGCAAGCCCGAAGTGTACTGTTTAGGGTGTAGGGTTTACATTTTCAATATAAGGTCTAGGGTTTGGGGTTTAGGGTCTAGGGTCTAGGGTTTAGGGTTGAGGGTTGAGGGTTGAGGGTTGAGGGTTGAGGGTTGAGGGCAAGATGCTCGCAACCCGAAGCTCGAAGCCCAGGTGTGGGGAGGGGTTTGGAATGGTTTGCAGGCCTACTTGGAGGTTCATGGTACTTATTAACCAATTATAGCTGCACTTATAACCCACTTATAAGCCCCCTAAATGCCCTAATATGGTTATAAGTACAGCTATGAGTACGGTTATAATTGGTTAGTAAGTAGCATGAACCTCCAAGTAGGGTACGGCAGTTTGTGAGGATCTTAACATCCCCTCTTGTGAGGGTTGAAGGGTACCTCAATGGGGTTGTTGAGGTCGCATCCTCCACAGTTTTCGCGGCGTCCAGGCCAAAAGTCGTCGCAAACAATTAGTGCTTAGGGGTTGCCATCCAAAGACCCTAAGCACTAAGCCCTTACGTACGGTTTCAGACAGCTGAACTGCCCCCCAGCAGGCTGCGCTGCCGCCCTTCTTCGGGGTTGCAGATCGGGTTTAGGGTTTAGGGTTTAGGGTTCAGTGTCTAGGGTTTATAGGGTTTATAGGGTTTATAGGGTTTATAGGGTTTATAGGGTTTATAGGGTTTATAGGGTTTATAGGGTTTATAGGGTTTATAGTGTTTATAGGGTTTACAGGGTTTCGGGTTTCGGGTTCAGGGTTTAGGGTTTAGGGCTTAGGGCCATTGGGCACCACCCCAAACCCTAAACCCCACAACCCTCTGGTGGTGACCGTCTCGGCAGGCCGCGCAGTGCGCTGCGGCTCCGATGCTAACGCACCTCGGTGGCCAACCATGGCATCTTGGGGTTTAAACCCTAAACCCTAAACCCTAAACCCTGAACCCTAAACCCTAAACCCTAAACCCTAAACCCTAAACCCTAAACCCTAAGCAACCCTAAACCCTGAGCAACCCTAAACCTTGAACCCTAACCCTAAACCCTAAACCCTAACCCGCTCTCGGGGGGCTCATGGAGTCATGGTTGAAAGTAGGTCCAAGATCGTTCTCAGGCCGCGATGTCGTGCACTTGTTAAGGCTTGCGTCCATCTCACCACCTGAGTAGCTGAGTGAGTACACTTTACACTTTTGGGATACTAGAATCCTCTATCAAACTGAAAGTGTACACTTTTGGGGGGCCTATGAAGTCAGCCCGTAAACCCTAAACCCTAAACCCTAAACCCTAAACCCTAAACTCTAAACCCTAAACCCTAAACCCTAAACCCTAAACCCTAAACCCTAAACCCTAAACCCTGAACCCTAAACCCTAAACCCTAAACCCTAACCCAGCAACTAAGCCACAACTAGCAGCAACGTGCCTTCCGGCCTCTAGGGCTCTCGGACGTATTTGATTTGTGCGTCGGTGCTTCGATGGATTGCGGTTTAGGGTTTAGGGTTTAGGGTTTAGGGTTTAGGGTTTAGGGTTTAGGGTTTAGGGTTTAGGGTTTAGGGTTTAGGGTTTAGGGTTTAGGGTTTAGGGTTTAGGGTTTAGGGTTTAGGGTTTGTATGGACCTTGGATCGTGCTCCCAGCGTGTGGCACTGTCCTTACATTTGTTGGGGCCTTCGCCGCCACAAATGTTCGATATCCTATTTTGACCCCTCCAAGCGCCAGAAAGCCTGTAAAACCTAAACCCTAAACCCTAAACCCTAAACCCTAAACCCTAAACCCTAAACTCTTTGAACCCTAGAAGGCCTTGAGGCCCTTTAGCCCGCGGGTCACACCCTCTGAACTCTGAACCAAATCTTGGCTTTCTTCTGGCTGGCTCTTAGGGCTTTAACTTTTGGGGTTTTTGAAGCAACTACAATAAGGAGCCTCACAGCTCAACTTTTAGGAGCTGTTCAGAAGTCAGCCAAGAAATAGGCCCCATGAGAATCCATAACCCTAAACCCTAAACCCTAAACCCTAAACCCTAAACCCTAAACCCTGAACCCTGAACCCTGAACCCTGAACCCTAAACCTCAGCCACCAGGTCCGGTGCTTATCCCCGCAGCTGCGCAGCCCCTGCAGGACCTGAAGTCCGGATGTTGGAGGGTTTAGGGTTTAGGGTTTAGGGTTTAGGGTTTAGGGTTTAGGGTTTCGGGTTTCGGGTTTCGGGTGTCGGGTTTCGGGTTTCGGGTTTCGGGTTTGGGGTTTGGGGTTTAGGGTTTAAAGGTTTAAAGGTTTAGGGTTTACGGTTTAGGGTTTAGGGTTTAGGGTTTAGTTTAGGGTTTAGGGGTTCGGGTTTGGGGGTTGGGGTTCGGGGTTTAGGGTGTGGGGTTTAGGGCTCTTGGGGTTCCAGTTTAGGGTTTGGAGTTTAGGTTTTGCAGGGCTTCAGGGTTTAGGTTTGGGTGCATTCTATGGTTTAGGTTTGAGGTTTGGGGGGTTTGGGTGTTTAGGGTCTGGGGTTGGGGGTTTGGGGTTTGTAGGGCTTAGGGGTTTAAGGTTTGGGTGTTCTAGGGTTTGCTTAGGGGCTTCAGGATTGGAGTTCAAGGTTTGGGGTTGAAGGGCTTAGGGTGGAGAGCTCCAGGTTTTAGGGGGCTGGGGCTTTTTGACAGGCCCAGTTTTGGACTGGTTGCATCTCTGTGGGGTTTAGGGTTTAGGGTTTAGGTTTAGGGTTTAGGGTTTAGGGTTTAGGGTTTAGGGAGCCCCAAAATGGGCGGGCTAGTTGTGGCGAAAAGATGCCAACGCCGCATCGTTGGCATCATTAGCGCGGAGATATCTTCCCTGCACAGTTTGACCCTAAACCCTAAGCCCTAAACCCTAAACCCTAAACCTCAAGCCTGAAACCCTATGAATATCCTCAACCCCGAACCCTAAACCTTGAACCCTAGGGTACTCCAAGAGACACTGCTGGGCTGACCTGGTGGCGTGGAGTCGCTGCAGCTCCCTTGAAGGTGACCCTAAACCCTAAACCCTAAACCCTAAACCCTGAACCCTGAACCCTGAACCCTGAACCCTGAACCCTGAACCCTAAACCCTAAACCCTAAACCTTCCAAGCCCAAGAAGCCAAAGCTTCTAAAGAGTTTAGGGTTTATAGGGTTTAGGGTTTAGGGCTTTGACCTTCTTGAACGAAACCTGCACTCTTCCTTCCGCTTCTACTGAGCCCCTCGCCAGAGGAAATCCTCGAGGCACGCGGCGATCGCATGAAGCTGGCAAAGGGTGACCAAGGTGCTAAAGGCGGGGGTTTAGGGTTTAGGGTTTAGGGTTTAGGGTTTAGGGTTAGTGTTGGGGATTGGGGTTTAGGGTTTAGGGTTCAGGGTAAGGCCCCCATGATACAAGGGACCCATCATTTTGGGGAACTTGCCCCTTGGGGTTTGTCGCGCCACCTGAGCCTATCAGGCGGCCAGCGCATTCTCTTCGACATGATTCTTCTGGCACGGCTGCTTAGGCTCAGGAGGTTGTAGAGAGTCAGTTGAAGAGCTACTATTTGCTTAAGAACCCCAACAAAATTAGATATTATAATCCCTATGTTACCCTTACAAGGAAGAATGGGGGGGGAGTTTTTAAGCAACTCGTAGATAGCTGAAGTCCCACCATGGCTTCTGCAGTTTCTCCCAGTGCTCGGCACCTCATTATGGCTCACCAACGCTTCAGTTTCTCGCAGTGCTCGGCACCTTATTATGGCCTACAAACGCTTCGATGGTCACTTGAGGTCACGGCGGCTTTGACAGGCCAAGATGGCTTTGGTCCGTTTCTCCCTGGAGGGTTCACAGGTGTCGGGCACTGGGAAAAGCTGCGGAACGGCTTCTGCAGTTTCTCCCAGTGCTTGGCACCTGATTATGGCCCACAAACACTTTGATGGTCACTTGAGGTCACGGCGGCTTTGACAGGCCAAGATGGCTTTGGTCCGTTTCTCCCTGGAGGGTTCACAGGTGTCGGGCACTGGGAAAAGCTGCGGAACGGCTTTCTCAGTTTCTCCCAGTGCTCGGCACCTGATTATGGACCACAAACGCTTTGATGGTCACTTGAGGTCACGGCGGCTTTGACAGGTCAAGATGGCTTTGGTCCGTTTCTCCCTGGAGGGTTCACAGGTGTCGGGCACTGGGAAAAGCTGCGGAACGGCTTCTGCAGTTTCTCCCAGTGCTCGGCACCTCATTATGGCTCACCAACGCTTCAGTTTCTCGCAGTGCATATTATGGCCCACAAACGCTTTGATGGTCACTTGAGGTCACGGCGGC